GGGCCTGGCATCTCCTAACCCAGTGGTCGGCAAACTCATTAGTCAACAGAGCCAAATATCAACAGTACAACGATTGAAATTTCTTTTGAGAGCCAAATTTTTTAAACCTAAACTATATAGGTAGGTACATTGTTATTAACTTAATTAGGGTACTCCTAAGGCTTAGGAAGAGCCACACTCAAGGGGCCAAAGAGCCGCATGTGGCTCTCGAGCCACAGTTTGCCGACCACGGAGTCCTAACCACTCGGGCAATGGGTGTGAAATGAATGAGTGAATGAATGTTCCTTGAGTATTTGCTGGATGTTTCTGTCCAGGTGGAGCCCAGTGTGTCCCTTCCAAAATGGCTGGTTGGCTCAAGGGTCGCAGCCCTCTCAGAGTTCCTTAGCGACAGGCCAGTCTAGGGCCCAGGACACGCCAGCTCTGCCCCCAGAGATGAAGATGACCCCAGCTATGCAGAGAACCCTTACTGGCACCCTGGCAGGTGCAGGGCATCCCACACCACTACTGCATGACCTCTCCTGGCCTCAGTTTCCCCAACTTTCCCAGGGTTCAATTAACCTGCACAGTCTCTAATATTAACAGTAACACCAGCAATAAACTGATGAGTTGTATTCAATGAGTTCTTCCTCTGTGCCAGGCACTCTTCTGTGCTAAGCAATTTACATGCACCATCTCAGTTCTTAAAAATATTTTTTTGTATTTTGACATAATTTTAGACTTATAGAAAAGTTACAAGAGTAGTAAAAATACTTTTTAAATGCCCTTAACTAGATTCTCCAAATGTTATTTTACTACATTTGTGTTGTCTCCATATATATAGGCATTATTTTCTGTTTGAGTAGATGGCAAACACAATCCCTCTTTGCTCCTATATACTTCATTGTATATTTCTTAAAAATAAGGAATTATCTTATCTAACCAAGTACAAGTAGGAAATTAGCATTGAAATGATACTGTTTAAGCTATTGGCCTTTTGTAAATTGTCCCAATAATGTGCACTCATGCCTTGCACTCACTGTCATGTCTCCTTCGGCTCCTTCAATCTGGAATTGTTCCTGAGTCTTTCTCTGTGTTTCATGACACTGCCAGTTTTTTAAGAATACAGAATTTTTTTATAAGTCATTTTTAAATTCAGGTAAAATATACATAGCATATAATCCACCATTTTAATAATTTTAAATTATACAATTAAGTGGTTTTTAGTATATTCACAATGTTGTACAACCATGACTACTACCTAATTCCAGCACATTTCTATAATTTCCCCCCCACGCCCCCCTCCGCAAAGAAACCTGCATCTATTACCAGTCAGTCATCATTCTCCCCTACCCCTAATCCCTTGGCAACCACGAATCTACTTTTTGCCTCTATATATTTGCCCATTCTGGCCATTTCTTAGAAATCAAATCATACCCTATGTGGCTTTTCCTTGTCTGACTTATTTAGCATAACGTGTTCAGGGTTCATCCATGTTGAAGCATGTGTCAGTACTTCAATCCTTTTATGACTGAATGATATTCCATTGTATGGATATACCACATTTTGTTCATCTACTCATTGGTTGATTGGCATTTGGACTGTTTCTACTTTTTGGCTACTATGAATAATGCTGCTAAGAATATTCATGTGCTTATTTTTGTGTAAATATGTTTTCAATTCTCCTGGGTTTACACTTAGGAGTAGCATTGCTGGGTCATAAGATAACCTTTGTGAGGAGCTGCCAAACCGTTTTCCACAGCAGCTACACCATTTTCCATTCCCATCAGCAGTACCAGTTTCTCCACATTCTCACCATTTGCTATTTTCCATTTTTTTATTATAGCCATTTTATTGGGCGTGAAGTGATATCTCGTTGTGGTTTGTATTTGCATTTCCCTAATGACTAATGATGTTAAGCATCTTTTCATGTGCTTATTGGCTATTTGTATATCTTTTTGGAGAAATGTCTATTCATATCCTTGGCACATTTTTAAACTGGGTTGTCTTCTGGTGTGTTGAGTTATAAGACTTTATATATTCTGGGTTTTAGGTCCTTACTAGTTATATAATTCGCAAATGTTTCTCCCATCTTGTGAATTATCTTTTCACTTTCTTGATAGTGTATTTTGATGCATAAAAGTTCTTAATTTTGGTAAAGTCCAACTTATCTAGTTTTTCATGCTCTCGAATTTTATGGACTGCCCCTTTTGGGTTTGAGGTCCCCCCATGATTGGTTCAGGTTATGCACCATGACCTTTAACCCTCCTCACACCTGGAGGGAGGCGCTGTTATCCTGTTACCCCAAGCTCAGTGGCTTGCTGGAGGTCCTATAGCCAGTTCCAGGGTGAGCAGGTTTCATCCGAGCCCCACTGAGAGCAGCGCACTATTACCTGGGGTTGCCACCTCTGCTGCTTGCAGGATGGGGCTCCAGGCAGCAGTGGGAGTTGTGACCCAGTCCAGGAGCTGGTGGGCAGGGTGGAGCCTAAGCCCGCCCCCGCCCCTCCCATCCTAGGCTGATGCCCACCTTGTTGGCTCTTGCGCAGTTGGGTGTTCCTAGTGAAGAAGAGTTACCAAGACACCGACACCTCCCTGCAGAGCAGCATCATCACCAAAGTCAAGGGCGTGATCTTCACCAACACCTCGGAGCTGGGGGAGCGGCTCTGGGATGTTGCTGACTACGTCATCCCACCCCAGGTCTGCACCCCGGCTGGGACCCAGGGACCTCCATTCATTGTCTCCCGTGGCCCAGAACAGCTGCCAGGGTTTGTACATAGAGATCCTACACAGATCCTCCCCCCAAGTCCAACTCCTGCCCTCCTTCCTTTTCTGTGCCTCATGGAACTGCTCTGCTCCCAGCAAACCCTGAGCCTGTTGAGACCAATGGGGCTCAGAGAATTTCCAAGTTGGTGTGAATCCCTTAGATCAGCGCCCTGGCTTGATCACAGTCTCCCTGGGCCAGGGCGGAGCTGCCCCATTACTGCTCCTCTCCTCCCGGATCTGTGCTTGGACGCCAGGGGCTGAGGTCAAAATAGGGATTTGTGGGGCAGGGGCGATTTGTGGGTGTGGGTCTGGGAGGAACCTATTAAAGGACTTAGGACAGTGGGCAGATGGGATCCATTGATTTTATGGCTCCATTGTCCTCAATACCCATGCAGAGGCCCCGCGCCCTGCCAGGCAGCCCTGGGAAGGAGGGTTCCAAGAGAGCAGAAGGAGGTTCCTTAAATCCTCTCTGGTTCTTCAGGGGGAGAATGTCTTCTTCGTCATCACCAACCTGGTTGTGACCCCCAACCAGCGCCAGGAAACCTGTGCTGAGGTTTGCTTTGGTGCCAGAGCTGGGAGGTGGTGGAAGACCCCAGCATGGGGCGGGGGTGG